AGGTGTGTTTTTCCATCTTCAACTAATTCTTTTATTATATCATAAAATGATGAGACAGAACATTTTGTTATTTTAAAAAACTATTGGTTTACATTTTTGTTTCAAAAAATATGGCAACAATGTGTGAAAGATGGAAGCCAAGAGTTGGCTTAGAGTTCGAAAGTGTTAATGAAGCATGGGAGTTTTGGAGTGAATATGGTAGGAGGAAGGGTTTTGGCATTAGAAAGCAATACTTCAATAAGCGAAAAGAAGATGGTGTTATCACAAGTTGTAGATATGTTTGTTGTAAAGAAGAACTTTGAAAAGGAGATAAAAGAGATTCACAAGTTGCAAAACATAGAGCTGAGACTAGGATAGATTGTTATGCCCGAATTGGAGTGTCCTTGGGAAAGAACAAAAAATTTATTATACATGAGTTTGTAGAAGAACATAATCACCTTTTACAAGTTCCAGAGACAACTCACATGTTAGCTTTACATCGTAAGATAACCCCGGTTCAAGCATTTAAGACTGATATTGCTGAGAGTTCTAGTTTACAACAAAAGTCATCATATCAACTTGCTACAACACTTGCAGGAAATAGGGCGAATGTGGGTTACACTAGGTTGGATGCCAAAAATTACCTAAATGTAAGAAGACAACGAAGTATGGTGTATGGAGAAGTTGGTTGTTTGATGCAATATTTTCAGCGACAATTATTAGACAATTCGTCATTCTTTCATGCATACCAAATGGATGCGAATGAGCAAATAACAAATGTCTTCTAGACTGATGTAAAGATGTGCTTAGATTACCAATGTTTTGGTGAAGTTGTTTCCTTGGACACAACATATTGCACCAACCGCGCAAATAGGCCTCTTGCATTGTTCTCTAGTTTTAATCATTTTAGGGGTGCAGTAATCTTTGGTGCAGCTTTATTGTATGATGAGATGATTCAATCTTTTAAATGGTTATTTGATACTTTCTTGGAAGCACATAATCAAAAAAAGCCATTAACAATATTTACTGACCAAGATTAAGCAATGGCTAAAGCTCTTGTGGAAGTGATGCCTAAGACACATCATGCTTTGTGCACATGGCACTTGATGCAAAATGGAATCAAACACCTTGGTAATTTGATGAAAGGCAGAAGTCATTTCTTAAGAGATTTTAAAAGATGCATGTATGACATTGACATAGTGGGTGAGTTTGAGCAAGCTTGGAGAAGTATCCTTGAGGAATACAATGTTTTTGAGAATAATTGGATGAAATCAATATATGGAATAAAAGAAAAAATGGGCGGCGTGCTACATGAAGGAAGTGTTCACACTTGAGATGCGAAGTACTTAACTAAGTGAGAGTATAAATTCTGATTTTAAGGCTTGTATGAAGCCTAGTGTAAACATTAAACAGTTCTTTGCATACTTTAAACGTGTGGTAGAAGACAAGCGTTACAATGAGCTAATATATGAGTACGAGTCTCGTCATAAACTAGCAATGTTGAGATATGAGATGTCTCTCATCCTATTACAAATGGGTAAAATTTACACACATACTATTTTCAACCTATTTCAACAAGAGTTTGCTTCATTTTTGGCATGCTGCATATCAAAAAGGAATGAATCTCCCCCTTTGTTTGAATATGTCATAACTACAGTCAATGAAAATGGATCATGGATAGTATCATTTAATCATACCTCAAATTCTATATGTTGCACTTGTAGAAAATTTGAAACATTTGGCATCCTTTGTTCCCATGCATTGAAGGTTTTTGAAGCAAATGATGTCAAGGTTGTGCCTGAAAAATACATCATTAAGAGATGGACAAGAGAGGGTCGTTCTGAAATTATACACAATATCAAAGGTATAGAGGATCAGGAGGATCCTAAACTTGCTATCACAAGACGATACTGACAACTAGCTTATAAAATGATTAGACTTGCATTAGAGGTATCTAGTTCAGAACAATACTCTCAATTGGTGGATGAATGTGTAAAAGTTGTGTCTCATCAAATCACACAACTTCGATTAAAAGAGCAACATGGTGAAAGTCACAATGATGAGGTCCCTACATCAGTCATCAATGATGGTATACAACCAAAGGGTTTCAAGCACCGCCCAAGCATGAAGAGGAATAGGTATAAACGATTCAAAAGTTGGGTTGAGCTACAAGGAAAAAGGAAAAAAAATTGGTCCATTAAGAGGACAATCCCAAAGGTAAAATGTTGAGGTACATGTATTAATGCACCTATCAAAATTTAAAATTTGTCCATTATTATTTGTCTTGTGTATAATAATTTGTTAATGCTTTTAGGAATATCAACCCATCCCTTCTGAACCATGTGATGTCCATTATTCGGCACCTCCATCTTATCATTCTCCACACACTTTCAGCAATACTTTCAATTTTACTACATTATTAACGGTATGTTCAAAAACATATAAATCCAAAATTTACCTAAATACCAAACTTATTTTTCTTACTAAGATGATTGATATTTTATCCAATTTCATTTCTTTTTGTAGGAACCTGTGGATGACACAACTCGTTGAATCCTTGATCAACTTTAAGAAATTTTGTAGCTTTTCTGTATTTTGTACAATGTTAATTGTAATTATGTGTAATTGCCATTGTAAATGCAATTTCTAACATTATCTGATGAATATAGTATATTACATCTGCTATTGTTATGTTCTGATACTTTTTTTTTTTTTCCAGTTTCTGCAATATTTGCTTAAGCTATTACACCTTCGCTTAAGCTATTCTTATTCGCTTAAGCTATTATAATTTTACTTAAGCTATTTTGTAATAACTTAAGCTATTCTAATCACGCCTAAGCGAATATCAACTCTGAAAACTGGTGCTCTCTGTCCATTTTTCGCTTAAGCTATTTTATATTCGCTTAAGCTATTCTTAATTCGCTTAAGCTAATTTTGGTGGCTTAAGCTATTTTGAACTCTAAAACTGGTGCTCTCTGTCCATTTTTTGCTTAAGCTGTTTATTTTCGCTTAAGCTAACATTTGCTTAAGCCCTTTTTTTTAGCTTAAGCTAATAGAAAATATCAAAATTCGCCCAAGCTATTTTTTGACATAATTAAATGAAAATCAGCTATTTTCGCTTAAGCGAATGAGATCTGCTTAAGCCAAAAAATAACTGAACGTCCAGTTCCCGCATGAACTGGAGAGAATCCAGATCCCTGTGGCACAGGGTTCTATGGGCAAAGCCACCCATCAACACCACCAACAACACCTAGGCAGTGAGCATTATTTGAAGATCATCATCAACATTACTGCAAAACTTGTACCAAATCCTCTGGGAAATTGCTGTATATGCTAAGGATTTTCCGAGAGACTGTGTAATAATGTAAATCATTAGATAATTAGATGTGGCCAAATTCATCTGTAGCCTTACACATACCTCCCTCCTTTTCTTTTGCGTACTGCTTGAAGTGTGAGCAGTGGTAGGCTTTGACATATTAGCGATTCTTGAGGTCTACTTCACCATTCAACTATTTTGAAAAAGAAAACACCTCGTTGGGCTCTTATTGTTCTGTAACATTACAAAGCCCTTGTTGTGCTATATGTGGATATCTTATTTCTACGAAGCTGCCAATGGGAATAAACATAGCATTTAGCCGATGGTATTATTCACTTCATACATGGCTTTTCAGAGTTTCACCTTGCTCACTGTATATTATCCTGGAGGTTAATGTTAGCATAAACTAATACCAATAACAGATGTTGACATTTTTGTTGTTTCCTGGTAGTATGTGGGTGGTGTGTTAGGGTCATTATTTATTCGAAGGCTTTTTTTTCCCACATGCAAAGGCTTTTAGAGATCTTTGTGGTTCGCTTTGAGTGGACCCGCTTTCCTCCGAAGTACATTTGTTAGTTCTTTTAAATGAAGTGACCACTCGCCCGAAATATTGCTTAAATTATGCATTGGAATATTGAAACGAGTTGCCGTCAAGTGGTTGGTTGTTTGCGAGGTTTAACACCAATTACAATACTAACTTGAAATGCCGCATGATGTTTAGATTAAAGTTGAAAATAAAAAATAATAAAAATATGGTCACATATTTGTATTGGATTGCAGCGGCCAAAAAATATTACTGGAGAACCAGATCATGCAAAAGGGCAAAACAAATAATGTGGTTATGTTTTTGTTTTAGTAAAGCGGTTTGCTGCATATAATCAGAAGGTTCTAATATTCTGAATGCTCTGAATCTGTAACATTTGTGATCATTTGACACCTCAGAGAGTAATTTAAAATAACATGTACAAGTTTGGAACTTTCAAATTAGGTTCTTTGCAGTACTCATTCAAAGTTATTAAAATTTTATTTCTAACTAAATTCTCAAATTAAAAAAGATACGATCTAACTGAGTTAAGGCACGCTAAACAGCAGACTTTGCCGTTTTCAATACAAAATATCAAACTGTACCTTCAGCACTTTGCTGCAAGTAATTTGTGACTTGTCTGTATCACGTCACTCGTAACGAATATTGTCAATGTCAGTGCTTAACGAGTATTTATATGATTAAGGGTGTAAGTATGAGTCAACCAGTAGACTTGAATAAATGAACCCAAATCAAATAAACTTGTTTTAGTTTGGTTCGGTTTTATAATAAAAATACGCACACCCAATTAAACCAATTCCACTTTATTAAATTCTTATTTATGATTATTATTATTGTTACATCTGTAAACATCTATAATAAATATAAATAATCAATAACAGTTGGTAAATAGTTTTTTTAGGAAGTGACACATAATATTAATACATATCAATAAATCACCAACTAAAATAGAGTATAATGCCCAATTTTAAGCAACTATAAATTCCATTCCATAGAAGCAAGAATTACAAGTTTCATTCATTTATTATTAACCCTTATTGTCAATGCATTTTCTTAAAATCGAATTGTTATTTTGCCTTGGCTCAAGTCAGTAGTTTGCACACCCAGAACGCGTTCGAGCTGGCCACGCTACTCTTGGTCTGGTAACACATCACAACACACATCATCCTTTCTATTCTTTTTTTTTTTTTAATTTATCCTTATCAAGCACGAAAAGCATTATCTTTAGCAACAGAATTAAGCAAACTTAATTTTTTTTAAACCCCCAATTGTTTAGTTTTGTATTTCCATTCAAAGATTCCTTTCCCTCCTTGAAATTCAGGTATTATTTATATCACCCTAATTCTGTTGATTCGCATTTCAAATTGTTCGGTTCGGTATCAATCGAGAGGAAACAGGTGCAATTTTTACTGTTATTGTTATTGGTAAAATTGTCACTTTAGGGTTTATGTAATTTCTTTTGTTAATTGCGTTCTGTGTTGTTGGAGTTCAATTCTATTAGTTCATGTTGTTTATCAACATCTGAAACGGATTAGAATAATGCTTGTGACAGGGGTTATTGAAAAATTATGGAGTGCTAGCTAGTGTGATGCATGAAAATGATGGATTTTTGTTTTTGAACATCGATGATAATGTTCTTGAACTTGATGGTTTTGGGCTCTTAAAAATGGTCCCTTTTTGACTTGTAGGCTGACCTATAGTAAAAAATCATATTCATGTCTTCAAGAACGTTGAGGAGAAGACTCCATCATGGGGATGTTGATGGCAAAAGGCAGGAGCATTTTGAGACTTCAGGATTAGATTCTTTGAGTGAGCCCTTGCTGGTGGAAGATGATTATATTGAAAATAAGAAGGTGTGAAATCGTGGTTATCTTTTTTTTTTTTCCTGGGCAGTGGGGTGGGGTTGAATTCATTTTTCTTTTATCTGTTTTTACATTTTATGCAGTTACATTTTTCTGTCATACAGATTTGTACTCTTGAAGATTTATGGGACGATGAGAGGAAGAAGGCACAGTTCCATTGGACATTCATATTTTCAAACCTCATTGCAGAATGGGCTCAGTGGTTAGGTATGTGCATGACTATTTTGGTCTGCCTCTCAGATACAATAAAGCTGGATATTATGAATAGTCGAGTAGTAGGTTGTATCACTTTTGTCAGTATATAGCAGTACCTCCCCATTTATTCGTCATGGATGGTTAGGCATGTGCTGTCTGACACATTTTCCCTAGCTTTCTCAGAGGAGGCCCTGCATTTACTGCTGAATATGATTCTTGTGATAATTGTTCAAACATTCTATGCTAGGTGTTTGTAAACATATTTTTCATTACTTGATGGTTATAGGGCGAACAAAATCCAATGCTTTTGTTACTCTTCAAAGTGAAAAAGGTCTATGATCTTTCTTTCCCTCGAGGTCTTATGTTTGGAGGAAGAATCAATCTTTGGGCTGTGAACTTTGCATAATTAAGCTCTATTTTAAGTAATTGTTGACTGAACTGATGGAGAAAGGTGATTGAAAATAAGCTAGGAATGGAGTTTGGTACACAATCACATGATGAATGGTGTAGTATTATATATTGGGTTTGAAATCTTATAAAGCATAGAGACAGAAAGGAACATTGCTTTTGAAATTTGTAGTTTTTTGAAAATACATGAACTTTCATTGGAGTGATTGCTTATATTATTAATTTCTCAGAACCATGTTTATGGTGCTTAGAAAAAAAGTGGACTTGTTCTATTGAGATTAGATAGTAAATGTCTTGGTTTCAAACGTGTTTTCTCTGTATCTGTCCTCTTTGCTGACTGGTGTACAAGTAAGAAGACAAAGCATGCAGCGTGTCATGATTTTAATGGTGATTTTTTTACCTTCGCAGCAAATGTTGTACTAGGATCTGGATCTCTTATTGGGCGTCTCTTATCTTTTCCTTCTACTGCTCTAAATATGCAAAATAATAGGATGCTTCCTTCATCTCTAAGCCCTCTGCAGGTATGTCTAGTGAAATCTTATTTTGAATGTTTTTACAAAAATCAAGTAACTGAAGTCTACTTTAATCCTTTGGCAAATGAATTCATATGATTTTAAATGCATTTTCTACAATACAAATGCCATAAATTTATGAACCTTATATGAAAGACAATTGATCTAAAGTGAGAATTTGATAGAGATTTCTCAGCACACCATTTGAATCAATCTCCATCAAACCCCAGGTAACTCAACCACCCCCCATTTGAAAATGAAATGGTTCCAGGGAAATTCTGATAATAATCTCAATTATATGATAGCATATTATCACTGGACTTAGTTTAATACTGCCACACCGTGTCTTGAATGTCTGTGGTAACACACAGGTGGCTAGTGGGCAGTGGATATTTCTTTGAAATTTAATGAAATGTATTTGGTTGGATTGTAAATGGAGAATTTTGAAAGAAAAACCTTTGAGATTTGAAAACCTATTCTCCTCTTTTTTAATAAATATGTTTACTCAAACATCTGATTTCATTTTGGGTCCTTTTTTGAGCTTCTGTATTATTTTTTTGAGCTTCTGTAGTATTTTTTTGTTGTTCTGATTGTTGTGGTGTTTATTTGTTTGTTGTTTATTTTTAGAATACAAGTTATTTATTGCCTCTTGTTGTTTATAGCTTCTAACTGTCTGCTTTTCTTATTTATAGCTACTTGTAGTTATTTCACGTGTATTTTATTTTTTTTTAGGAAGAAAGACTAAGAAACTTACGACAACGGCTTGAAGTCCCCTTTGATGGTTCTAAAACAGAGCACCAAGTATGTATTTAATGAATTTTTAAAACTTTCAAATCACTTTACTGACATTTGCTACTATATCCTGCATTCTAACTGTTTTATTTTTCACTTGTTCTGATACTGCTGTTGTCTCCATGAAGTGTACCTTTCGATATCGATAAACTGATGATCTATTTTATTCTGCAATCTGCATGCGTGATTGATATTCAATCTTAATGTGTTTGAACTGGAAACTAATAGTGGAACATGGGCATGGTAAATGCTTGACTTGCAAATGCTTGTGTATGAGGATAGACAAAATTTTTAAATTGAGTTGCCTCGCATGAACTGAAAAGTGGACAAGTGCAATGACTATTTGCTGCATGTCTATATAGTGCATAGGTATCTATTCTACCCATGGGATGCTTTTGTGAATCTAAAATATAAATAGTAAATAGAATGTGTAATGGACATTTTCTTTTATTGACAGTAGGATGACATTTTCAATTTTTGTTTTCTGGTTCCAGGATGCACTTAAACAACTGTGGAAATTGGCTTACCCTAACAGAGAGCTTCCTTCACTTAAATCAGAGCTTTGGAAGGAAATGGGATGGCAAGGTTCAGACCCTTCAACAGATTTTAGGTGAGTGATCAAAAGCAATATATTATACTTCAAAGAGAGAGGGTGGGGGCTTCAAGATGGAAAGGGTTTTTTATTCAGCAACAAGTCAAAAACTCAATATTATCTGAGACCATTAAGGCTTCGTTGGTTTAATGATAGGAACTTAGGAAGTGACTAAAGTTTTGAGTCTTTGACCCTCTTATGTCCTCTGTTGATTGCCATAATCATGGACTAACACACTGCCCTCATAGGTTGTACTTAATTCTAGATGTTTTGATAGTTTGATTTTGGATTTTGTGGGGTAGTTTCTTGTGTACTTGTGGAATAAATGGTTTCATATACACTCCCTTGGCATGTTCTTAATTCAAAAACACTTTCAAAAAGAAGATTTCAGGAACATTTGACTAATCTTTGTGTGTTGCAACACCTAGAAGAAAAAACTGTCCTATGAGATGCATAAGTTCCTTCATACAATATAATAATGAAACAGTCTGTACTGATAAATCATTTTTTTGAAAATATTTTATTTAGAAAATATCTCCTTGAACAAAATATTTTTCAATACTACTTTTGATCTTAAAAAAAATATTTACCTTAAAACTCTGTAATCTTTACTCAGTCAATTGTACTTTTTCTTTTTTGGAAATTATGAATTTGTTAATATGATATTCTAACCATGGTCTGCAGGGGTGGAGGATTTATATCATTAGAGAATCTCATCTATTTTGCAACAAAGTATCCAGTAAGTTTCTTTCGTTGCATTTGCATCCATGCCCATGTTGCCCTTTCCGAGTAGGTTTCACATTTCTTGTCAACTCATTATTATTTTGATCCTCCTTTTTCATTTTATATGCACTTAAAATTTGCTTATTCCATGGATTTATTTCTCAAGGCCACCCCCCACCCCAGTAAAAAGAGTGCGCTTATACTTTATTACTTTTGTGGTACAGTCTATTTACATCTTAACTGTCTTGTGGATAATTAAAATGGGCACATAATTGCTCTGCTTTGATTTAGAAATTACCAGATGCTTTATAATATTCCACTGATTAAGAAAATAAGTTATATATTTTATGCATATCTTTGTCAAGCTTATATATTATACACTATCTTTTCTGGAAAAAAGAATATATCTTATACAACAAAAAGAGGAAAATACTGGGAGGTGGATGAGATATTACTGTGAAGGAAGAAGCTATAAGAAAATGGACAATACTAGATGACACAGGCTTTCACACTGAATAGCTTCCTGAGGTGACATGCATCCACAGTCAATACTCTTTGGAGGCTAAAAAATGGAACAAAAATCAGTTCTCAGAAAATAGCGAGTCTAATAATTTTTTTTTAAAAAAAAAAATCCAACACAGCTGTCCAATCTCTCTGGATATCATGGAGTGAAGCTTCCTTAAGAAAAATCTCACTTGCAGAAGACCAAAGAGAAGCCATCAGTAAAAACAAACCTATCACATGTATCTGCAAGGGCAATTTCTATGGGAATTAACAAAAGCATATGTGTGGGCTATGAAACAGCCTTGCAAAAGCATACCTTCTACTCTACTGACATTCACTTGAAAATGATATGAAACACAGCTTTTGCCTATTATTCTTTCTGATGCTTTTCTAATAATCATGAAAAAATTGCTGAGGTTGAAAGGCAGACCCACTATTGACCTAGAACTCAACAGATTTCTCTATTTGAAAGTAGCCTTCTGAAAATGCAAAATAAATTGCCACCTTGTTCTGAATTAATCTCGAAACACATTTGGGGAAAATGGGAAATAGCTGTGCAAATCTGGTACATATCATTTTTGTCAATCCTATTGGGTATAATTGTCCAAACAAAGCGATCAGAACTTAGAAGAATTTAAGAATTAAAAATGGGCTTGTTAAGGAAAAAAACTCCTGATTATGAGAATCACTAAGAAGGTAATCTCTGACTCTAGATTCAGATTCTTAAAAAAATGAAAGCTTTGACGTATGATAAAACCTTGAAAAGCTTCAAAATTTTGGATGGGTGACTTGTAAAAAAGAATAATAAGAGGGAAGAGGAAAAAATTTTAGAAATAAAGTAAATTTCTTCTCCAAAATATCCTCTCAGAACTTAATATGGGGACCATCACTTTAACTCAAAGAAACTAGAGATCTAAATTACACAATTTCTTCTGCCAAATGATAATACTTCTGCTTGTAGCTTTGAGGGCATAACAAACAGTCACCAAAAACACCCAAAAACATATTCCCATTGTATTTGACAGCTGGACCATGTAAACACAAATGTAGGTGTTTCTGAATTCGTGTAGCAAATTACAGGCACATTTAAAGATAAAGTCACATTTGATTTAAAAAGACTTATTTTGAAAATTCTTATGTGATTTTGTTAGAACCATTAAAATTTATTTAAGAAACCTTTACGTAATATTCTTGATGTTGCACTGTTACATGTTCACCAAGTTTTTCTTGTGTTTGTGGTCCACTTATTTCTTTCAATTATATGTAAAATTTCCATTTACTGAAGTAGATTTTATGTTCATTATGCATATTTAAATTTTCTGCATCATACACTTGTTTGGGTGAACACAGCAGGTCTACACAATATGTTACACACTTTATTAAGTAGTATGATTTTGGTAAGTGAAACGCAATGCTCCTTGGCACTGTCATAGGATTCATTCCAGCGATTATTGCATAAACAAGATGGAACAAGGGCAGAGTGGGAATATCCATTTGCCGTAGCTGGAATCAATATTTCTTTTATGTTGGCGCAGATGCTGAATCTTCAATCAGGTAACATAACTTCTCTTAAGAAGAAATGCAGTGGTTGTCTTGTAATGATGGTATTGGTTGTCTTTTATATTAATAGGATCTTGTTTTCACCATGCCACCAGCCACCTTCACAGATCTAGGATGCATTTGGGAAGACAACTTGATTAAGCGTTTACTCAATAAGCTCTTTTTCCATGAGAATTTATCCTAAAATTTAACCATAAAACTTCTTTAAATAAGCTGAAAAATAGCTTATGGGAGCTATAAGCTCTTTCCATAAGTTCTTCCAAATGCCCCCTTAATATTATTTTGGGGGTTTCCTTATTTGTACTGAGTGTTGATGTTATATCATATGTAGATTAATGTGAGAACTGTTTTCTTCGCAGCATCTTCTTTGCCAGGAATCCGTTTCCTCCAGCTACTTGAGGAGGATGAAATGGCATTTGATATCCTTTATTGTGTTGCCTTTCAAATGATGGATGCTCAGTGGCTAGCAAAGCGTGCGACTTATATGGAATTTAATGTAATCTATCATTAAATTTTATTTGTTTATTGCTTATTTATTTTTATTATTATGTGATAGTCTCCTGATTCATTTATAATTTTCTTTCATTAGGATGTTTTGAAGTCCACAAGAACGCAGTTAGAGCGTGAGCTTGCTCTTGAAGACACCTCCAGCGTGAAGGATTTGCCGTCTTACAACTTGTTGAGATGATTAAGGATTGTCATTTAGTTTAACATTCTTCTCTCCTTTTTTATTTTGCAGAGAATGTTACATGAAGTGTATCTATCTAAAGCATTTGTCATAATATCTCTAAATAGAAAATGAAAAAGCAAGTGAAATATCAGATTAATCTTTCTGTCCATTTTCATCACCTTTGTATTTAAGCATAATGTATTTAGCATTTGGGAATTTTTTAAAGAAAAATTGTGTTCTCAATAATTACTCCAATTCGAGTCCATCATATCAAGTATGACACAGTTTGAGTAATGGAGTCGCCCCATTTGAGAAATGAATTTATACCATAATTTGCAAGCCACCCTTAGGTTTTTTCTTTTCACCACACTAATACAATTTTGAAATCTATTCACGGAAAAAAGTAATCCTTAAAACTTAATTATAAAAATGGGCTAATATTACGGTGCCCTTTATGTGATGCAAGAATAAGATGCGTCATATACCAAATTGTCACATTATGGTGTGTTAATCACCTTCAACGGGGTAGTTTTTTAAAAATTTGTGAAATTATATGGTCAAGATTACTCATTACAGTATATATATATTTTTCTAATAAATTTACTTCTTTTTTTAACTATAATAATAATTTTTCCCTTCAAAGGGCATCAGATTAGGTGTAGATATGCGTCACATCGCAGAATAGTATGGGGTGTGCCAATGATATAAAGATGTGTCACGTACTGATGTGGGTATTGGCAAGAGTCTGTTTGACAGCAATTTAAAATAACAGGCAAATTTCACTTTCTTCCACTTTGATTTCGACCATCTCGTTTTTAAAGGTAGCAAGTTGTCTCATTGATTTCTCTTGCTGTAGTATTAGAATGATATTTTCTGCATTATATTTCTTGATTTTATTGTTAACTTAAAATTGTGGCTATTATATTTTAATATAATACTTTTTATTTTTAAAATCTGTTTCTTCAGCATCGAAGTGGTGAGAAAAAAAAAAGGCAAATGTGATCTCTGTGTGGTAATGAAGTTATTTTTTACGTAAAATAACTATATAAGATTCATGTAAATTTTTTATTGAATTAAACGACTATGTTTTACAATATTTTCGTATATACCTACCAGCACTTATTCACCAGTTATTGTTTTCTACCTATTGGTCGGTAAAGTATTTTTCACTGTTATTTTTAAATAAACAATATTATCGTTGATGCAACGATACGGAGATGTTTAAGGTTAATAAAATCTGCGAAAGATAAATTTTAAGAGTAATTAAAGTGACTTGTTAAATTATTGAATAAATATATCAATGTCGTAGTAAACTGATTCTGTGAGTATTTTACGTTAATGTATATTTAAATTTTTTAAACCTATTTGATATTTTTAAAAAATCGTTTTCTTAGTAAATATGTGTTACGTTCAATATACATTTTATAATAAAAAAATGTTCAATTAATATGCATAAAAATATTAACAAATGATTTAAAGTGTGTGTATTTTTATAAACGTGTTTGTTTTATACTTTAAGTATGCTTATTTTTAAAAATAACATATTAATATAATTAAGAATGTATTAAAACAAATTTAAAATGCATGCATTAATATTTTAAAATGATAAAAATAAATTGAATAATTTGTGTATGTCTTGATAAATTTTTCAAACCTGTTTTATATCTATTTCATTTATTATTGTTCAATATTTGAAGTTAATATACAATATTAACTTTCATTTAATAGACTGCTATCTGTTAAAAAATTATTTAAAAAAAATAAATATATTTCATCATGTATATAAGTTGTGTAAAATTGCTGTTGAATTAAGTTGAATAAAATGAAAGTAAATAATGTGTATAGATACTGCTTTTTCTGATTAAAAGTGCATTCTCATTATAAGAAATATTGAAAGTAAAGATGAGTGAGGTGTGTGTTATGACTGTGAGTATCAATGTAGATGAATTAGTAAAAAAGAGTGAATATCTTCGTATTGGTGAATAAGAACGAGAGAAGATGTTAATGATAGTAAAAAGGGAGTGAGTTGTAATTTGATTACGTTACCCGTGGAATTGTCTTGCTCCCCAAAAAAGCCATTGCTGTCTTCTTTTCTTTCTTTGCATTGTAAAATCACTATATTTGTTATTGTCTTTTACTTTTTCTTTGCAAACATGCTCAATTTTGTATTTATCATTTCTCAGCATTCACATCATCAAAACCACAACCATTTACTTGTACCCTTTTTGTTTTATGTGCACTGTGTACGACGTGAAACACACACACATATGTATAAATAAAAGTTTCTTTAACTTTTTATTATCTAAGTCTAATTAAATTTAATCTAACATTTTTTAAAATTTTAAGGTTTATTTTAAATTCGAACTATTATTTATTTTTTTAATTTCATGATAACTTGTTCTTCTTTTTTATTTTATTTGTTTGTAATATTATAGGTTTTTTTTCTATTCTTTTGGACTTCAAGTTTTTTTTTTCTCAAGTTATGATACTATTTAAAAATTTTAAGAGTGAATGAGAACATTTTATTATCTAATAGAAGCAACGAGTATAAATATTTCAAGACTTTAAATATTTTTTTTCATTTTTATTAATATGAGTAGAGTAAGATATATAAACCGCCTAAATATGTTAAAATATACATGTTTAAATCATGTATATGCAGAAACAAAATTAAATTAGAACACTAACTTCCCATCATTTAAAATCAACTCGCACCATGCATAAACTTGTATGGTTTTAGTTTTTTAAATCCTAACTTACCTAAAACATGATGATGTTATTTTTTGAAGAGAGGAGTAGGTTTAGTGACCCAAAATAGATGAATGTGTGGTATTTATAAGGTTCTTCTCATCATAGAGTTGAAAACATGGAGACCTTTGTGAAAACATGAAAATTTGCACAAAATCAAAACGTTAGATTGAATGTAGTATAAAAATGGACCACATACAATTAACAAACTATGTTATTAAAAAATAGGATATAGAAATGGTGAGATGTGAATGAGTTTACACAATTTGCTAGACTCAAGAAGTTTCCAGGCCAAAACTTTAAAGATAAGGACTCAAAAACAAAATTGCTAATATTCTCCTACTTGGTCTATTTATCCTATTATCAATTATAACAAAAAATCAAATATATAAATCATGGTAATAGATCCTTTAATAGTGAGAATTATTCTTATGTATCACAATATATCAAGTCTCACAACACCAGCTCTTAATTAATGAAATCACATGTTTATTCTAGGAAAAATCTAAATGAGATTTCTCAAAATAAATGAACAAATATGAGCATAAAATAAATGAGAAAACACCAAACTGAATAAGCATTTTATCAAAATAATAAATGTACTTATAATTATTGTCACATTATGAAACTAAGTCTCATTCGTGCTATATAATCTTTAAAATTCTTTGGTGGTATGCCTTTAGTGAAAGGATCAACAATAATCAAATCAATGTTAATGTGTTCAATGACCACTTTCTTTTCCTTAACATATTCTCTAATAGCTAAATATCAATGTCGATGTGCTTACTTCGACTTTTACTTTTATTACTATTAGTCATAAATATTGCAGTAGAGTTTTCATACTACAACTTCAACAGCCTAAAAATACAATCCACAATTCTAAACCCAAATATAAAACTCTTCAACCATGGAACATGTAAGGTAGCCTCAAAACAAGAAACGAACTTAGTCTCATAGTGGAAGTAGCAATCAAGGTCTACTTTACATAGCTCCAAAATATAGCTCCATAAGCTTGCATAAAAATTAACTAAATGTAGATTTCTTTATATTAATGTAGCCAGCAAAATCTAAATTAGAGTAGCTAATCACCTCTAAACCATTAATTCATCTATACATGAGTATGTAATCTTTTTTTCCTTGAAAATATCTCGTTATTTTCTTTGCAATTTTCTAATGATCAACACCTAGATTACTATCGATTTTTTCCAAACTCCAACTACAAATGCAATGGCAGGTCTAATGCAAACCTGAACATATATAAGACTTCCAACAATTAAAGCATATAAAATATTTGTTATGTGTTCTTCCTCAAGGTTATTTTTTAGGCATTGACTTAATTCAAGTCTATTGTCCTTTATAATGGGATCTATACTTAGTGAACAGTCATTCATATAAACCTCACTAAAACCTTGTTGATATAAGTCTCTTAAGACAAATCCAAAATATCTTGAGATCTTTCTCTATGTATCTTAATACCCATGACATAAGATGTCTTACTCATATCCTTCATATCAAAGTTCTTTGAAATAAATTGTTTCAAAAATTAAATGAAGATATAACTTTATGAAATTTTAAATACCATTGGCAGAAAGCTTATTTTAATCCATATATAGATTTAATTAATAAGCTTGCAGACTAAATTTTCATCGTCACTAAAGAAAAATCACTCAAGTTGTATCATGTAAATCTCTTCTTTTATATCAAAATTGAGGAATGTTGTTTTTACATCCATTTGATGTAACTCAAGGTCAAAATGAACTACTAATATCATAATTACTTGAAGAGAATCTTTCTTAGACAAGAAAAAAAAAAGTCTCTTTGTAAGTTATTTCTTCTCTTTCAATGAACTCTTTGGCAACAAGGCTTACCTTATGTCTCTTAATATTGTCTTGTGTGTCTTTTTTTTGTTTTAAATATTTATCTATATGCAATAGCTTTTACACCATTACGCAACTCAACGTGATATCATAGAATCTATCTTATCTTTCATGACATTGTACCATAAATTCAATTCTTTAGAGCTCATAACTTGTGAAAAAATTTCAAAATCCTTTTTTACTCTAATATTATAGTCTAATTCTTATAAATACACTACACAATTACTAGGAATTGCTAACTTTCTTATTCTAGTAGATCTTAATGCTGCTTCGTTATCCTAATGAGGAACTTGTTGTCCAACCTATTACTAACAGGTTGTCCAACATTTACTTGTTGTTCTTCGTCAACGACTCAATTTAATTTATCATCTTTAACAATTTGTGAAACTTGAAACAGTGACCGTCTAACACACTCTTAAATTAGAAGGGTATGAATGACTATCATTTGATCCAGAGGGTTGAGTTTCGTAATAATTCCTTTCAAAAGCAATGTCTTAAAATAGATCACTCACATTAATTAAGTAATTTTCAAGAAACTTTACAATTCTAATGCTATAAGATAGACAATAGAATTTATACCTTTTGGATTTTTCAACATATCTAATGAAATACTCACCAATACTCT